AATTAGATTTCAACTGGACTGTCTGTTCCCACCCTGGACCACTGAGCCCAGAAGGCAGGGAGCATGTTCACCCGCCGGTAACACCTGCCTCTTGCTGAGTGAGCACTTGATGAGACAGGGAAAACTCTGGAGGGTATCAAGTGACCCAAAGAGGTGCCCCTCATGCCGTCTCATTCCTGGGGGTGGATTTGCTGCTTATGGCATCTCAGGGAACCTGATGCTGAGAGGAACATGTTCTCAGTTTCAAGTACTTTTGGTTATCTTGTAAATAAGTGCTGGGAAGAGGCAGCTCACCCAGGTCTCTGGGAAGCCAACATCTAGCTCAACCTTGATTAGGGATTAAATCCATACAATCGTTGTACAGAACATGGCAAAATGATAAAAGCACACAAAAAATTAGTGACTCTGGATGAAGAATTCATTGTATCATTTTTGCAATTTTCTGTAGGTTTGAAATGTTTAAAATCAAAGTTTTTTCAAATCAGAGATTTAAAGTTTAAAATCAAGGGAGAACAAGTAAAACAAACAAGGGAAAAAACTTAAAGTTTTCTTTTTAAAATCAAGGTGTAGAACAGTGTGCATAACAGTCTTTACAGTTGAATGTCATCTATGTAAACAAATGTGGAGGAAGCATATGGATACGTGTGGTTGTAACTGCCCAGAAAAATCTCTGGACAGTCACACAGAAAACCAAAAGTAGTAGTTGCCTCCAGAGAAGGAAATTCATGGACTAGATGATTGGGATGGAAGGAGACAATTCTCTGTAAACCTTTTTTCATCTTTTGAATTTTAAACCATCTTCATCTATTTAACGGTCCTATCTATTTAAAGATAATAAAAATGAAAACAAACCACCTAGTCATGACAGATTTTGGCTGAAGAACTTATGTACTGTTCTCTTTGCCTAAAAAATCCCTCCTGATCTTCTTCTGGAAAATTCCTACTCATGCTTCACATCTAAACCCAAAGGTCACCTCCTCACTGAAGCTTCCCCTGATTTCCTCTTCAGAGTCAGCCTTTCCGTGCTCATTGGACCCCTGGAGCTGTCTAGAAGAAAGCCTGCTGTGCTTGCCTGCCAGCCTGGCTACATCACAAGAAGGAGGGCTCTTTGAAGGCATGACTTTAGTTTCATTGTTATGTCTCAGATCCATGTGCATTCGTTCATTGTTGTATCTCCAGAACCTAGTCCAAGGCCTAAACAGGAAGGTTCTCAAGAGATGGCCAATGAGTGAACATGGCCAAGGTTCTTTTTTCCTCTCCCCATGTGTTATCTCGCACTCAGTGTATACATTCAGCAGCATCCACTGTATTAGCCCGAAGCCGCTAGGTCTCCTTTATAATTCAAGTGGAGATTCAGGACATGGCCATACCAGAAGAACTGTAATGTAATTGCCCTCCAACTTGGTTAAGACTGGATGGCAAGATACAAAAGAATTGGAAGAGATAGTGCTTAGGAGTGGAGACCCTGGCTCTACCCATTGTTAATCACATGGTCCTTGGCAAATTTATTATCCTCTCTGAACCTCAGTGTCCTCATCTATAAAAGAATCATGATGACAGCCCATATCAGTCAAAGTTCTGGTGACGTCAAACAAGATCATGAATGTAAAGCACGTAGCACAGTACCCGGTGATCGATAAATATCAGCTCTCACTGTTATTATCTGGAGGGTCTCTACATTTTGTTCATCGTTAGTTAAATAAAGCAAGATCAAGGAATCACAACTTTGGTTGGAGTTTTTCCTTTAGCATTGATTCGGGCAAAGCTAGGACATTCACGTTGCCTGCCTGTAATTCTTAGTTGACTGCAGTAGTGACAATCACATTGAACACACTGAAGATCTGCAAAGTAGTCAGCAAGTGTCTGTTTATGATTCTAGTGACACCAGCTACAGACAGATCCTTGGCCCTTTTCTCCATGGTGGCCTACATCCCGAAATAGGAAATGTGCATTCACAGACAGACCCAGCAGGCTCAGGGTGTTAGGAGGCAGGCTGCCAACATTTCAAACTGTCAGGGACAATGCAGAGCCTGGTGGGTACTCCAGCACAGGTGAGCTAACCCCTCAAGCAGCTTTTCGGGATTTATTTTCATGCAAATGAAAGATAATTGGGTGACCTGTGACCAGCAGCTCCTGCTGATGATCATTCAGGAGGGTCTCAATGTGGGCACGCTTTTCATGTGCATCAGGGCAAATACTTTTCACTTCAATACTTTCGCACCTGTGCTCCAGTGCCTTACTAAAAGTCCAGCGAGGTAGCAGGCCTGAGAAGCCCGATCCTGTAGCTACTGAGGTAATTCCTCCCCTGTTCTGAGGAGGTACCGAAGACAGGTGTGTCAGGAATGGAAGTCCAAGTGGATTTCCCTGGAATTCATCCCGAAAGCTGACCGTGTGAGCCAAAATCACACTTCACCACCATTGTTAAGTCTTTCTCTCTCTCTATCTCCCCCTCACCTCTTTTTCCTTCCCACTTGGATTTTGAGTGCTTTACACAGAGCCACTTGACTATAAACTCCTTGAGGAAAGGGCCAGTGCCCTTTCATCTCTGCCTGTGTGCACGGCACGCCATAGGTACCTGCTCAAGAAACGCTGGCATCGTGAACTGATGGGGAACAACAATCCAAGTCTTGAGCCAAAGTCATTGGTTAATTTTATTTTGTTCTTCCAAAACCTTACAGCATGATCATGAATAAGTTCTTTCTTCCCTTTAGGCAAAAAAATCTCTTCTCACTAAAACAAGAGGCTTATCCTGAAAGATCAAAAGACCATTCCATCTGTACCGTGCTGTGTTTTTCTTACAGGTGCTATAATATTAGAATAGTTTACCTTCTTCTCCCTGAAATAAAAGCTACGCAGAGCTCTTCAAAATAGGCTGTTCTTAATTCCTCAGTGGAAAAAAATTTAACAGATTTCCTAGAAGAGAAATTAAATTCAAGTACTTTCTATTTAACTTCTGACTCTGTTTCATTGATACCTCATTCTAATTGTCCCTATTATCTAGAAAAATAGGAAATGTCAGTCGCATGTCCTATTGAAGAATTCAAAGGGCCGATGAAATGAAGAGACCCATTTCGCTTGGCAGAAATGAGCGGATCATCATTCACAGACACTTCCACAGGAGGGACGCGTTTCGTCTGTTGAGCCAGGCTGCAGAGCAAATGAGTGCAAAGTATGCTAATGTGTGAGGAGTGGGTCACACAGTTTCCAACTCATATTGGTGCATTTGCAGCAAAGTGCAGCTCTGCTCCCACTAAGAGCGTTTCATTCAGTGGTTTATTCCCATAACAAACATTGAGCAGAGTACGGGAGAAAGAGTTGGGGGGGGGCTCCTCAAACTGAAATTTTGTCCCCCAACAGACCCACATTAAAATATGAGTGTAAAACACCAAAGATTAACGAGTCCCAGTCACAGAGGATGACCATCTAGGTAACAACAGCTTGTGTGGGCTGCAGAAAAAGCCTCCAGCCCTATATGGAGGAAATGTTATTTTGTCCTTAACGTAGCAGATTCATTCAGGGGAAAGGGCTAAAGTCAGATTTCCCAAGGATAAAAAGTATGGCAACATGGCCACAGGCAAGTTAGTTATCTTCTTACACTCAGTTTTCTCATTTAGAAAATCTTGGATATTAATAGTACCCATTACATTAGGTTGTGCAAGGATTAAGGGAGGTGATACCTTTAAAGACCTTATGTGCCTGACACATAGGAAGCACTCAATACCTGTTAGCTGCTATTATCATGACTTTCCTCTCTGGCAAATTTGCCCCCCTTCCTCATCTTCTATTCAAAATATACTTAAAGTCTCAATTCACATGCTCGATAAATATTTATTGAGAGCCTACTTTGGCTCAGATACAGTGCTTGCAACTAAGAGTATGGTGGTCCCAGAATAAGTTCTGCCCTCAAGGACCTCCAGATCTAGCTGGGAAGACAGACAATTAAATAGACAATTACAACCCAGTGTGGAAATCACAGTAAATGGTGTAATCTCCAACCACTGAAGCGTTTTCTAGGAGACACCCATAGCTCAGTCTTAGGACATCAGAAAGAACGCCTTCCAGATAACGAGGTCCAAGATAAGATATAAAATGAGTAACAGCTAGCTTGTGAGGAGAGAGAGATTATGGGTCTTTGGGGAAATGAAAGTTGTGCCTTATGGTAGATCCTAGAGTGGATGTGTAAAGTGAGGGCTGGACATGGAGAGAGAGTAACCGAGAGATGCATCTGGACAGTAAAACATCAAAGGGTCCTAGAAGCTTTTAAGGAGTTTAGGTAGGTCTAGAAACCTAAACTGTGGGAGGTCATGCTGGTAGAATTCTTAAATTTCTATCTGGATATTTGGGCATCCTATAAAAATAGCTCCAATTACCACCAACCAGATGGAGGAGGTAAATGGATTCATAGAGTCCTAAAACTTAAGAATGTTAGAGATGTTCTGACCACACTTGACCCAGAAAAGAGCTTGTTAATCTAAGGGCGCACAGACAGTGAATGGCAGAGCTGGACCTGGGAGTTGAAATCAGCCTCCTGTCTTATGATCTAGTGCTCTGTCTTTTGATGTCTAAAAGGTTCAGCTTTCTAACAATCTCTTTTCCTTGTGGGTTGTAAGCCATCTTGTTCATATTTAAAGAATTCTTTTCACAAGAAGAAAAGTGGAAAAAAGCAACATGGCAGTTATCTTTGTCAATCTGTCCAGCTGAGTCCTTGCTAAACAATTCTAATCCCCTTTAGTTCCTTCATTCACCTCTGGATCTTCTACAGTCAAAAAAACTATCATCCCTGTATGGGCACATAATAGGTATTTAATAAAGAGAACTCAGTCACAATAACAGGGAATAATCACATTCCTCAAAGTCCAAGAAAGTAGGCCTTTCCCTCCCTCTCAGAGTCTACTTTGGATTTGGTGAAGGTCTCAATCAAGGCAGGTTTGAGGGATGGACGTTCCATCTCCACACACACAGTAACATTTGAATCATTCAGTAACGTCAGCCCATCTTACCTTCTTCACCCATTGGATACTTGCTGCCAATTTCTATAACACACTCCACCCATCTGATTGGTCACTCAACAAATAACAACAGGAATGAGCGTCACAGGGCCACGGAGCCAAAAATACAGGAATTTCTGCAAAAAAAGAAAAAGGATCATTAGTAACCTAGAGATGACATGAATCAATCAAGTGATATGCTAGACACTGGGGACACACAATTGCATAAGACAGATTTTTATCTTAGAAGATAACAGTCCAGGTGTGGAGAGAGAGATGTAAACAAATTATAATTGTGTGCAAAGTGGGAAAAACTTGTCATGGATTTAGAGGTACCACAGGATGGTGTGATTAACCATATGTGCATCTAGTACTTTGATGATAAAGATAAAAGCAGTCCTACATCCACCTTCTTATAATACGCTATGTATTTTGCATGCATTTGCTCTACCACTAAAAACAAACCTGTAGGGGGGATATGAAGTCTTAGAGCCAGTTTCTGAGAGAACCCACATTTTCTCAGAGTCCAAAGCAAGTACCTTCCCTTCTAAAGTGAGAAGCACTATTCTGGTGCTGTCAAATCCTTGTGGAATCACAGGCTCAAGGGCAAAGAGGGAAAGTGGTGGCGGTGGTGATGGCAGATGTCACCCCCACGCCAGCAGAGCAGAGCACTGGGCTGATAGAGCTGGAATTCTTTATGAAGACGACATTCTTCTCGCCCCCTCCCACACTACACCACACTCTGGAGTCACTGTGTGGGGGCTGTGTTCTGCCTGGATTCTGGTCTGATTCATCTTCATATCTCCCAAAGCGTCTAACACATTTCCTAGCCCAGAGCAGCTGTTCAATGTATATTTGTTGAATGAATGAAGAGAGGAATATGGAGTGTCTGAACAGCTGTCGTCTTTAAAAACTGAGGCACTGAACCAAGGAAGGTGCTGCTGGCATGGCTTCCCTAACAAAACAGCATAAAGGATTTCTTGAATGTCCTTCATCTCTAGAGCTTCTACCTTCTAGGTTCAACTCAGCCTGCATTAAAAGCTTAAACAGCTTCTAACTTTGACTTTATTTATTATACTTCATTGTTTTCCAAATCCTCTTTCCTTGCCTCATCTTGGTTCCAACTAATGGCTCCTCACACACAATGCCTTCTCCAAAACAACGATAACAGCAACAAGCGAAAAAGCTTCTTGGTAAAGGGCTGAAGCTGAACTGTAAATCTACTAAAATTTGCTCATAGCACCTTGATTTGGTGACTACAGCAAGAACAATAAAACTGTCTTATTGTGTGCTATTCCCAGGATAGTCAAGGACAGAATAGCACTGGGATTATTTCGAGGTGCATTATAGAGTCAGGGAGAAAAAGCCACATGGGACAATTCATACAACATATAACTAATCAGGAAGGACCCTACTTTGTAACCATGTTACATGTTATAGTCAGTCGCCAAAATTCCCCACCCTCAATGGACCATACTCTCAGATATTTATGACCCTTTGTTGTCCCCTTCCATTTGAATCTGAGCTGTCCCTGAATAACCAATGAAACACAGCAAAAGTGACACTGTATGATTTCCAAAGCTGAGTCATAAGAAAACTTGTAGCCTCTCTTGTGTTCTTGGAAAGCTTGCTCTGAGAAAAGTCAGCTGTCATGTCAGAAGTCTGAATACTCTAGATCTCCATGCTGTGAGGAAGCCCCAGCTAGCCAGGCGGAGAAGCTGCATGGACAGCGAGAGAGATGCCCAGCCATCTCTAGCAGTTCCAGACATCCAAGTGGAGGTGCCCAATGGTGAGTGAAGATGCCATCTTGGACACCCAACCCAGTCAAACCTTCATGTGACTCCAGCCGTCTGACTACGCAGCATGAAAGACTCCAAGTAAAAACTAGCTAGATGAGTTCACTCAACTCAGCTATAAGAGGTAATAACAAATTGTTGTTATAAGCCACTAAATTTGGGGGTGGTATGCTACACAGCAACAGATATGTAGAACACTATAAAGAGAGATGGAACAGACATTTGTCACAGGCCTCACCAATGTACTCTCTTTAAATACACATAACCAGTCTGGGTATCATGAGCCCATCTGGGTATCTCACCCCACCATCAGAAGGGTAGGACTCTTGCCTAAGGCACACAGCCAGTAACAGCCAAGGTGGGCTCAGACTCCAGCAGCGCTGACTCCACGGCCTGTGCTTCTCCTGTTTTCCTTCTCCAGCCTCCAGTCAGTTAATAATACAGCTGTATCTGTGGCCAGTGTGTTTTTAAAAGCTTCCTTCTCAAATCTGTAAAAATGCATTGAATTCCCACTTCATCTTGCATTCTTGACTTCCCCGAAAAATATCTCCTATAAAACTCTCTTCAGCAAAAGCCTGCGCAGACAATTAAGAGCTTTGGAAGGAAAGCAAAAATAGATGGGTGAATTGTCTATGAATTCTGATCACCGCAAACACTTGAGAAAGAGGGGTTGTGGGTTCTGTGGAAAATGTTGGTACACAACCACACCGTGTTTCTCAGAAAAGAAAAGAATGAACATCAGACACTGAAGTTGTTTTTCTGCTTTCAGCAGAGTTGATGAAAAGAAGAGTTCATCGGGTCTGAGAGGGCTGGGCAGGTATACTGCAGATCTTAGCTCTCTGCATTGGCATTTTTGGTTGGAATGTTCATTTTCCCTCCTGTCTCCCACATCTCATGACTCTAGACTGAGGATCATGGGTTCCCTTCTGAGCCAGGAAAATACAACCCAGCATTGCTGCACCCATGCCTACCTACTCTCAGGGCATCTCCCCTTCATTTCCCAAGTCCTGTGTGCATTTATGGTCCTTCTTCAAGCACAGGGCCACTGCCCTCTTTTAGCCCATTCCATCAGCGTGTCCGGCCACCCACAGTACTGAGTCTCTCAGAGGCACAGACACTGCATGCCATATATTATTTCAGAGAGACTGAAAAACCAGGAAAAAGAATACCATGAAGCCAAGAGTATATACTTGGTGAGCAGACGAAGACCGAGGAGAAAACTCAGGGAAGGACGTGGTGTCATTGTGGCAGATTTCCTTTGCTGAGCTCTGATTGCATAGGAGTCTCGGTACACGCAGGGCCATACCCTTCTCTTTGACCCCACAAGTCATGCTGTCGTCCCTCTCTTAGGATCTCTTCTCTAAATCAAATACCTTGGCTTATAGATCTCCATGTATGGGTCCTCTTCTAGAATGTGGGCTCAGCCAGGCCAGCTGTGTGCCAGGATCATTGTCAACAGCACAACAACATATAGTGCTGGGGGTGAGGGCTGAAAGTATATGTGAATTGGATTAAAATAGCCCCACCTCACTTACTCCACCAAGGCATGTTTCAGGACCCCCAGGCCACTTACTGTGTGTACAGTGCTGCTACAGGTAGAACACAAGGGAAAGAGGTGCCACTGGGGGGAGGGCAGTAGCCCAAGGAGACAGTGACAGCTGCACTCTACAGATGCAGAAACTGAGGCTAAGTGGTAAATGCCCAAATGCGTAGAGCAAGGAAGCAGCACAGTTAGACTGGATCACTAACAAGTCCCCTCCTTTCCTGCCAGCTTTAGGAGCCCACGACGAGACTCACTTCCACGTTAAATCATGCCTATTCCTCTGATATGTGACCACAGACAATTTCTACTTTTTAGTGTAACAACACAACACGGAATTTGAGATATTTTGGTACGGAGCTACCTAACACAAACTATGATTAAATATATTACTATTAAATAAATCAATGAAATCTCAAGTTTTTGAAACTTTTATTAGGCACAGAAGTCAAGCAAAGGCCATATACTTTTTCTGTCAGTCTAGAAAGACTAAGTTGTTCTACTGACGAGTTTTTCCTGCTCTGCAGGCAGGAGAAGGGGCAGCACACATGCCATGGACCCTGGGCGCCCTGCAGATGGGGGCTTCTTCCTTTTGTGGGTGTCATATGTTCCTGACATTGTTGATGGATGAATAAACCCAATTATTAATCACCACTGGTTGTTCTTCTTTCCTGTTATCGCCAAAGTTCCAGAACCATATCGCGAAGCATATTTTGTAAAATAGCTTTGTAGATCATGAATTTTTTTAAAAATGGGGGAAGCAGTAAGCTATTGAAAGTGAGGCAACAAGTCTTAAAATCCAGGCTTTGCCTCTTCCAAACTAGTTTGACTTTGGGCAAGCAAGAACTTTCTCAGCCTCAGTTTCCTTATCATAATATAGGGATAAGAATAACTATGCTGTAGGATTATTGTGAAGAATAGTGACAATAAATGCAATACCTCAGGCACAGTGAGCACTCCATAATCAGTAGCTGTGATTATGAAAAGATAGATTGTGCTTTTTCAATTGTGCATGACTCCAAAATTAGTTTTACCTTGTATTGTATATTTGCTATTCACAAAGCCCTATGGTAGATGTATAAGTGTTTATAGAGAACTAATATTCATATATTTGCATATATTAACATACGCTCATATAACATGTAATTAATATTAATCTATAAGCATTTTCCACATCATTCTTTTTTCAGATGGGGAAACTGTGTCTCGAAGAAGTTTAGGGATCCCTCAAAGTTCCCTGGTTCAGCTTAGACCTCTGCTCCTGACGGGATTTTAGTGCTTCCAGCTACCCAAAGTTTATGCTTCCCTGCAAAATCCCGGAGGCCGGGCACTCACTGCCTGCGCTCGGTGACGCCCCCCCCCCAACCCCTTGTCTGACTGTAATTACAAGAAAACATCCATAAAGAGTTCCTGGGCTCCAAATGGATTTGACACAGTGGCCCTTTAAATCAAACTCAATGCGATTATCTTTATTTCTCTTGAGCAGTTTTTCTAAGTAAGCCATGCCTTTAGAGGAACCTAATGCAAACTGACAACCTTCGCGGTTTTGCAAAGCGCGGATGGACAGGCGTAGAGAGAGCCCATTGTCACCATGGTAATTACCGCACAATACCTGACGGCCAATGGACAGTCAGGAGGCTCAGGCAGCAGCTGAATCCGGCATTGTCCAGGCCCGATAAAAAGATTAGAAGCCCTGAAAAGCCGGGGAGCAGGATCTCACAGCTCTTTCCCTGGGCCCTGAAAGGCCCATTGTGCTGCCACCATAAATTCTGGGTTCCCCGGGCACTTGACAACTGAAGCT